GGATGTACGGTACAGCAGTAAGCTCTGTGGACTTCAACTCCCAGAATTGGCTGGGAGCCAAAGCTGGCTGGGGAATTCTGGGAGTTGAAGTCCACAGAGCTTAAAGTCGCCAAGGTTGAGAAACACTGACTAAATCATCAAGCAAGAGATCTTCCCTGCGCAGTCACCAGTCTGCTTTATTTCCTAATCTGGCCACAGTGTAAAATGTGTGAGGGAGGATGTTCCAGAAGAATTGTGGTGCAATCGTATTAATACTTACTGGAGAGAAAGGCCTACTGAGCTTAGGAGAAGTCTTTACCAGGCAGATTTTTGCACACACTGAAGATTCCAGTAGAGAAATATCGGGCAAAAGACCTTTTCGGTACTGCAGCCGTATATTGGGGCATCCTGTTTATTTTTGGCACTTCTACATTCATCCAGGTCTATAAATTTATTTTCTGGCTTAGTTTACACTTAGGTCACTGCTGCAGGATTGAGGTTGTTATCATTTGTAAGGATTTGCATTTTAAAGACCAATGTTGTATTTCAGTCATATTGGTTTTTTCTTTTAAATTGTGGATTGGATTGTTAGCTGCTCTGTGAATCTTACAGAAACGGGCTCCAAAAGTTCCCCAAATATATTTATATCAGGTAAACCATTTTTTTTTTTAATGACCCAAGTGTTTTACTTTTTATCTTCTATGCTCACTTCCATATTCTGGGTTATGCAAAATGGCAGTGATCCAAAATAAACCTACAAATCAACCTTGAAGTACTCAAGGAAAAGATAAAAGATTTTGGAATGGTCCTCCCAATCCCCAGACTTGAATATTTTTGAAAATCTGTGGGGAGATCTCAAACATGCAGTGCAGAATATTTGCCTCAGAATATTTGCATGCTAGAAGAGTTCTGCAAGGAAGAGGAGGAAAACTTCTGAAAGCAAGAATAGAAAGACTTTTAGTTTGCCACAAGAAACATTTGGAAGCACTTATTTCTATGAAAGGAGGTATTACAAAGGACTGAAAGGGTACTTAAACTTTTGTGCCTGTCAGTTTTCTTATTTTGGATCTATAAACATCAGTATCAATTCAAATTGGTAGAAAGATGTGTTTAAGTTTGTGCCAAATACAGACTATGTCAGTTTTCATTTAATTAAGGATTCACTGAAACATACAGTTTGACCAAAAGTGCCTAAACTTTTATATACTGTACAATTGCTTCTGAAAGGGTTCAGGAGATTAGGGGAATAATTTGGGTTATAATTTAAGGGCAAGCAATTCAACAATCTGCTTGGTGAGCTTCTTTGGGGTTCCTCTGTTTTAATATCCCAGATTGTCCTAGATATAATAGGGACTTGCAAATCTCACAATTCAGGGATGGAACATTCCAGAACATCCTAGAACATTCTGTTTTTTTCTCTCAGAATGTACCAGTCTGACTTTTCCAGGGTGCTACAGTTAAGTTTTCCAGAAGAAAATCTTCTAAAACAGGATGTGGTTTACAATGTTCCCAATACACGCTAGCACTGAAATGGCCAAACTTGCTGGGACCCTGATGCAACCCACTCTGCGTTGCAATGTTTTATCGGGAGTTCATTCTTGACATATAGCATTTGCTAGAAACACAGAGCTATGAAGCGTGACATTTTCTTTGACCGTGATTAGAAACCACACCTTTTATCACAGATTGAAACAGTCAGAGAGACAACAGCTGGATAAAATTGTTTGGGGCACTGGAGTTGGTCTCTGGGGTTCTCCTCCTTGTTCAGATGCCTCAATCCCCCACAGAAAGAAAACCCCTATTTCTCACTCCTCTGACACTTGTCCAGAAGGATTGTTTCCTGCTGATTTTGTCAGCAGGGCACCCAGTCCCGAATAAACATGCCAATGTCTCTTACCCACTAGGACGGTTATGACCTTATTGCTGGCATACTGCTCTATTTCCCGTAGCCATTCGGGGAGGCATCGGAATGATTCTTCGCAGGTGATGTCATAGGTCAGGATTAATGCGTTGGCGCTGCGGTAATAGCTCTGCGTAATGGACCGGAACCTTTCTTGCCCTGCCGTATCCCAGATCTGCAGCTTTTGTTTTCCCCACCACAGGGAACAGGGAAGAGAAAAACAAGGGGATGGGGGGAGAAAAAATGAATGCATTAGCATGGACCCCAAGAAAACCTGTGACCTCGTGCCCTTCCTAGTTCACAAATCCTTCGGGGCTCCACATCCATCTCAGGGGTCCACATCGATTTCAAGCTCTTTTTCAAAAAATATCAGAGCATGATAGGATCAGAGCACATGCCCATCCAATCCAAAATGGCTGTGTTTCCAAGAAGTTTACAAGGACATAAGATCTATAGCATATTGTCTGACTCAAGTTTCTGGTATTCAGAAACATACTGTTCCTGAGCCTGAAGGTTTCATCCCATAATCCAGGCCTTGAATTGATATGTTCTTCTGTAAAGTCCATTGTTCAAGTGGCCTTAATGCTTTCGTTCACTGACAGCAAAATCCTCTACCGACAGTTCTTCTGAATGCTTACAGTTAATCTAACTTTTTTCCTCCACCACCTGGCCATCTCAATAAAGACAACTGAGAAAAGAAATGGAACAGCCTAAAATAATTCAACAGACCCTTAAAATAGCTAATTGCATGAAAAAGGTTTTTGTCTCTGTCAGATCTCCATCTACCCCTGCTTTGGAATTAATTAGAGTTCCTTGGGACATCCAGATGTGTGGGACTCTGGTCACTGTGAGTTTATAGACATCATTTGCAATTTCAAGAGGATGTTACGTTTGACAGGAAGGTAGAAGATACCCCCCAGCATTCTGTTGAACCCTTCCAGGGGAAGTTTTCTATCACTCCAATTCTCTATCATTCTGGACAGGTGAGCAGATTTCTAAAGAACGCACTGTGTACAACATCCATCATTTTTAATTTTCCCACATCTTTAACAGTGATTCTGGAGGCTGTTGCCTTCCCACTTCATTTTCGCTTTAAAATAATATTTTAAGTAAAGTGCTTAAGGTTATATCCATGGGCATCTTGTTAAGAACTTGGGAATGAATTTATGAAACATTTAACACGGCCTGACTCCCAATGATTCTGAATGATTCACAAATTAAAAACCCACAGAACAATCAAATGATACAATGATTATAAAAAACAAGGAACAGAAGATAGCAAAAGATGGCAAAAATTGGGCAACAGCAAGAAGCAAACACAAGCTAACTAGAAAGGTTGTCTGTCAAAGGCCAAGGGGAAGAACCAGGCCTTCAAGGATGAACTGGGGCCATCCGGATCTGGAATTCCAGGTTTAAACTGGAGTTAATGAACTACCCAGAATCACAAAATATTTTACCCTGGCATATCAATTTAAATCGTAATCAGTTCTCAAAGTCTTCAAGTTCCCACGTATATAGGAACTTTGGTTCCAACCTGAAGATTCCCCATCTCCTCCTTGGAGCCACGTTGGACAAGGGAAATGGGAGTAACATGCCAAATATTTCCAAACTTTGAGGAACTAGAGCAGTGTTTCTCAGCCTTGCCAATTTTAAGATGAGTGGACTTCAACTCCCAGAATTCCCCAGCCAGCATGGCTGGCTGGAGAA